CCATCAGTTCATAACTTTACTTCACCAACTTTGGTGCTCGCCAAAAAGTAATGGTTTGAATTTCCAAACATTGAATCCAGATATTCTTGTTCCCAAATCAGTGAGCTCCCATCACCACCTCAGCCAAATCTGAATAGAAGGTGTTCAGCAGACAAGCTTAAAGAATGAAGAAAAATGATTTTAATTTACATAATTTTGGGAGTAGGACAAATGGGACAAAACAAAAAACTAACTAAAAGCAGATAAACCAAAGCAAAGGCACACTTCAAATGTTGATATGACACACCTGGGAGTTGATGGGAGTTTTGAACCGGCATCGAAAGGCAGCTGAAGGCCATTAAATGTCTCCACTTTGCTTCAAAGAAAAAGTAAAGGACAGATGGCAGAGGGGAGGAGAGACACTGGAAGAAACATGAGAGATGGGAGTCACAAGAGAGAAGTTTAGAGATGGATAATGATGATGGAGATAGAGGAAGAGCGGTAATGACTAGAAAACACCCAGAACAGCATGGCTAAAGACATGAAAGAGGAGCAGAGAGTAAAAAACAGAAAAGGGGGGACCTTGTGAGACGGAGGGAGGGAAGAAAGGACGAGAGAAGACGATGAGAGGAACTCGAGGAGCGGTGTAGGGGGTTACAGAGGGGAGTGAGGTCAGGATTCGACCCCGTGGCATCCCACAGTAATTGAAATTAGGTGGGGGTGGTCGGGCGGGAGGGGAGCGGGACTGGAGGAAACAGGCGACATGATAATCAATTTGAGGCTGAATCGGAAACATGAGCCACTGGGGGGGCCTCGTTCCCCCTGCCAGGCCTCCAGATGGCCCCGGCTCCAACCCTGTGTGGGCCCTGTCAGAGCACGCAGTGTGTGATTCAATGTACGTCTGTGTGTGTGTGTGTGTGTGTGTGTGTGTGTGTGTCTGAGAGACAATACCATCTGCCAGGAGTGCAAGGGGAGTTCAGCAGATGCATTTGCTGACACTAGGGGCGCAGGAGGATACAGACAATACACTGTATGCCGAGTGCTTAATAGCCACCATATACTGTACATGAAGTCCACGAATCCTTAAAGGGACAGTTCACCACAAAGTCAAAAAAACATACACATAAGCTTGCATCTATACTCGATACTGCTAGTTCCCTAGCACCAATGAGCTAGCTACTGTTACAGCTCAGCCAGGGGGGACGCCTTCAATGTTAACATCTTGCGCTGTTAGGAGCACGAGCCTCTCATCTGTGAGTAGATGCACGCTTCCTTCTGAGTGTTGATAAGGTCATCGGCTGTAGTTTGGTGAAAGTCTGGATTATCTCGAGAAACCGGGTCATGATACATAGAAAGAGACACTGCTGTAGAGTTTTTCAAATGTGTATTTTTGGGCGCTTTGAGCACTACAAGCCGAGTGGCGTGTAGTTCCATTATATTTGAGAGAATGCAGACATCACTATGGCAGTTATTTCCAACACTCTGCCTCTCTCAAAACAGTCTAGATTGATAAATAACACAACAGGTAAGAAGAAAAATACATATATTCATTTTCATTTTTGAGTGAACTGTCTCTTTAAGGTGCTTCTGAGGATCAAAAACTGTTCTCCGGCAGAGTGAGGATAAGAAGTACATTAAAAGCCTTTTTTAAAGTCACGCATGATGGGAAAATGTAGACACGGTTACCTCAAAGGTTCTTCAAAACCCTTGATATGTATTAATCCTACAATAAAAGCTCAAGCTGTTGCTCTATGCGTTTTGAGTTTTCCTCTTCTTCCTTGATGGCTCCTTAATGTAGTTGCTCAGTCAGTCATCTTGACAATGAAATGCTCTCAAAGTGACAACAATCTATAACGGTTGAAGGAAAAAGAAGCAATCTGTCTTTTAAAAAACTAATTTGGCAGACGTTTAAAGAATCATGCACAGTAAAAGGAGATAAACTGCGGCCCAGTTTCTGGATCTTTCTGCAGGATAACAGTTTTATAACCCAAGGGTTCTTAACATGGATGCTCTATTGATCAAGTCCTTTCAAATGAGGTAAATTATACTAAATCAAAACATAAACACACGAAAACACAAACCTCACTCAGCCGCCCAGGGGACGACTAGGGCTAACGGATGAGAGTCAGTAAGTCGATCTGAGGCAGCTGAAAGCAAAAGAAATAAATAAAATGTATGAAGTTCATGTGTCTGATCCCCAAGCACACTGATCCAAAGAGCAGAGACAGGCGGAGAAAAAGAGGAAGGAGGAAATTGAAGGCGGACGTGAGGGCTGGAAAGCGGGAGAGATGCGGCAGGAGTGGAGGTGTTTGAGAGCGGTTTTGAAGTGGAGGAGGAATGAAAACAGTTTTGAAGGGAGGAGTAGTGTGATGCAGAAGGAAACAAAAACACGTCCGGAGCCTCGTCAGCGCTGCCGTGCAACTGTCGTTACTGATATTACAGAACATGGTTATATAAGTGGCTTAGCTTCTGGGCTGCAGCAGTTTCTTCCAAAATGGCAGATTAGAGTACTGTTGTGTGACAAATTATATATTTTTTTGTAAATGAAGCGGAGTACAAAATCTGAAAATGAATATGCAGGCTGTTCAACAAGTGGCTTAATTAGACATGCAGGCTTCCATCCCCAAATCACAATGCGGAGCAGCATTCAACAGGTTGTGCAGAACGACTAAACATGGACTCAATTTATAAGAAATCCTGGTTAAAATAAAGTAAAAATTGTAATATCATGAGATTTCTACTTTGATTTAAACTCTATCCATTAAAAATGATGTGACAACAAATAAATATTTTTTTAATTACACAATTAGAATCATATTTTGTTTCAATAATAGCAATCCTCAATTATAAGCCGGTGCTCTATTAATATATGGAGCTGTGCAATTCACTGCTTTTTTCCACAACATTGTCCCGGAAATATTTCAGAATAAAATCCTTGTGTTAACAGGTGAACAGACTCTGTCCAGGGAAAGATGCTAGTGGGCCTTTAATTTGAAACAGAAACAGGAAAGTTTGAGTTAAAAATAAATATGAACTTGTTTTCATATCTGTGACATCGTGATATAGACATCGGAACTGTAGTAATGTTGCTGTTATAATGTTAATATATATACGGTTGAAAGGGTCTATTTTGTTAAAACTAGGCAGTGGCGCAGGCGGTGTGGCTGCTCTAACCTGTTAACATGGGCGCCGACATAAAGAGCAAGAGGTTCAGGCAGGCAGTTTGATCCGGGCGATGGACTCAAGAGGTGCCTAATAAACCTGTGAACTGACAAAGGCGGGACAAACAGGGAGGAGAGAGGGGGCACCTAATGGAAAAGGTGGCTAGGTGGTAGGAAAAGGTGAAAGGGGAAACAGAGGAAGTAATGGAATGAGCCAGCGGTGGCTTTCTTCTGAGGCTGCTGCAGGCTTTGGAAAGCAATCATCTTGAGGATCTCCTCTTCTTTAATAAACAGCATCCTCTCCATTGCCAACTATAACATCACCGTAACATAAATCCCCCCCCCCCACCACCACCACCACCATCATGTTTCTGTCTCCCTTTTAACCTCCTTCCCTCCTTTCTGTCCTCGCTCCCCTTGATGTGTTGAATCTTATAGGAACCATTTGCCTTCATATCACAATACGCACTCTATCAGCGTGTCGGTTCGTTGACTTGCTTTTACACCCCCACCCCACCACCACACACACACACACACATCTTCTGTGTGTTTGTCACGCCGGCCTTCCCCTGTTTTAATTGGTGCTCGTTAGAGAGAAAAAAAATGATGTTTTTGCTACATTTTCACCAAAATATGCAGGAGGGGAATCAGGCTATGAACATGTTAATTGATAGTGGATAAAGGAAAACACTGGCAATTAGTGCAGGCTGACAGATGAGCAAGGCACTGCACCGGAGACTATGATGACTACAAGAACTCTACGCACGCACGCACACACACACACACATATATACCTTATGTACACGTTCTTGTTAGCGAGTAGGGCCAGTGTAGACGTGAACCACTGTTTTGATTCAAACCAAGCAGGAAGTGAGACTGCAAACGGAGAGTCGTGTTTTTAGTTTCCATCAACGCAAACACACACACACACACACGCACTTGGATGCAGATGCAGAATAGACATAAAAACAAACAGACACACAGATACAGACAGAAAAATGTGTTGCTGGGGTTATCTACTGGTTTGGAGAAAACATCATTATGCTGCTGCATCTCTCTCTCTTTGTTTCTCGACACTGTTGTGGAAACGCTGCGGCCCAGAGAGTTGAATTGCTTTTGTTTTTGGATGATCTGATCTGTAGATGTAGCCTATGTGTGCTGTGTAGAACTCCACTGGCTTTTTGAGGCAGTTAAAGACAGATATTTGAGAGTGAATCTGATCTGATGTTGGTATGTATTTCTTTTTTTTACATAAACACAAAAGATAAACAAGTATCTTTAGCAGGGGTTGGCCCCGAGGCTGGATTATCAACTAGGCAAAGCAGCCGACTGCCCATATGTTGATGTGCATCTATGCACATCCCTAAATCAACTGACCCAGACCTTAAGGGGCCTCGAAATCCCCAGGTTCGTTGTTCTCAATTGACTGCAAGTAATTTGACTAATTGCAAATTTGTCAAGCAATTTTGTACCAGTAAAGTACAATATCGACAAAGGCGTGTCCAGTATTAGTGGCTAATCTCGGGCTTCTATAAAAGGGCCATGTGACAAAATGTACTATCTCAACTTTTATTTTTCAGACATTGTATTCCGAAGGTTTCCTCGATGGATGGATTTAGGACTTAGCTCAGAAACTTCTGTTTCCATCGGTTGAAAACGGACCTTCAAGCTCTGAAAGTGTTTAGTTTTCTTTCTGATTTTCATTAACTAATGTTTGTTTTTGAAACACTGAATACATCAGCATCATCATTCTGATGACTCCTGCTCAATTTTCACCATTTGTTCTAATGTTTCTTCTCTTCTTATTGTCTTTCCCTCTCCCTGTGGCTCCTCTCTCCACCTCCTCCTCCTCGTCGTTAGGTGAGCCTGCAGTGGCCAGAGAGAATAACTGTCTGAATGCTGCCAAGGCCTGCAACCTCAATGACACATGTAAGAAGTACCGCTCAGCCTACATCAGCCCCTGCACCAGCCGCGTCTCCACCGCTGAAGTCTGCAACAAGAGGAAGTGCCACAAGGCCCTGCGGCAGTTCTTTGACAAGGCAAGGCACCTCTGACACAAGATCATAAAGAAGAAGGAAAGAAACGCATAAAGCACACACACTGGGGGTTCTCCAAACGACTGATATCTGATAAAAGCCGAATATCTATCACAGAGGACCTGCTTCAAAAGGAAGAATGATTTTGAAGTATATAAGTTAGAAGAGGAGTCAAAAATCACAATAAATAATTATGCGGCCCTTTTTGTGCAGGGTTTGCTTTTCCATCGCCAAGCTTTTACTCTGATTCAGTCATCAAACACAAAAGTTGTTTTTGCTGTCCGTCCCATATTGTAAAGAAAATGATGTGAGACATTGTAATTACAACCCAGCTCCCACGATGTCCCTTTGGAATAACTTAACTGGGATCTCTTCCACTAAGCAACAACATGAATCAAAAGAAAGCTACAAAGAATGCATGACTTTGTTCATCTTGTTGTGATTGTGTTTAATTTTGTTGTCTTTTTTCACAGCAGAGAACTTTGTGTGAACAGCATCAAGTTTTCTTTGTGTTGGCGATAAAACTAGATGACATTCTTCTATTGAAGCAAAAGTGTTTTGTTACAAGCCTGCTACCATCTAGAGTGTGTCATTAAACTCTAATATCAGAATGTATTGATGTTGTTATACTGCTGAAGCAATGTTAAATATGCATGAGAGACAATTTTGACATTTTGGCATAATAATTGTTTTACGGACAGAAGTTTGAACCTCAAAAATCCTCCAGCACAATATTAAGTGATGAGTTTCCAATTTCCAACAATGTCATAATCAGTTTGTTTGGACAGAGGAAATACTTAGTTAACATTAGTAACAATAGCCAATGTGGGTGGTCAACAAAGAAAAAACATCAACAGAAAATCTAAGGGAAAGAAGTGTTTCTGATTGGCAAAGAAAAATGACCAAAACGAGAATAAAAAGGAGGTCTTGCATTTGGCTGGTACGGTTAACGTTGTGTTGTCTTGTGCCACACAGGTTCCTCCGAAGCACAGCTACGGCATGCTGTACTGCTCGTGCCCGATTAGCGACCAGACAGCATGTTCTGAACGCAGGCGTCAGACCATCGTCCCCGTCTGCTCGTATGAAGAAAAACAGAAACCCAACTGTCTGGAACTGCAGGCCTCTTGCAAGACCAACTACATCTGCAGGTGGGAAATTGTATTTTCTGTATGTTATTTTCGTGTATTCTGAGGGCATTTTTTTCAGCATTTATTAGACAATAAAAAAGACATGATTGGAAATTCTGGAACAGAGAGATGGGGAATGACGCACAGCGAATGTACCCGGCCAGGTGCAAACTGTGGACGCCAGAGTTTATGATTGAAAACCTAACCCCCAGATCCATAAGAAACCAGCACTATACTGAAACGTAAAACGAAACACACTACGAATGAAGCGCATATCGAAACCAAGCGGCAACCTCGGGTTCTGCAAAATGAAGCCAACATAGAAGTGCACTAAACTGCAGTTCCTCAAATGGCCGCTTGAGGCTGGCTCCAAATGTGAGCGAATCCCTGCAGCCCCCCATGGTACAATGTTTACAGCAGGAATAAACATGTTTACAGCCTGGGGCAAAAAAAACGTTTTGGGTCTCTTAAGCTAATATTCCCGATCGTGACAAATGCACGGGCGGTGAATTTTTCATATATCTCACCCGTTTAAATTAGGCTGTGTTAACCTTAACTGAGCAGGAACACTAATCTTAACAATAAAGTCTTAACCCCTAAAACTTAATATTTTTACCCAAATGTAAGGTGAGTCCCCATAATGAGACCGTGTCCCCACATTGTACAAGTACACACAGGCACAAATCGTGCCCCTTGGACACCTCCTTACATTGTGTAGTCACTGCAGTGCCAACACCAGCAGAAAGAAATCGCCTCAAGGCTCAGATTCACACACGGACAGCATGACAGTAGTAAATCCAAACTGCAACTTTCTATCCGTCCGTCCATCTCTGTCTTTTCCTTTTCCTTTTCTTTTTTCTTCCCGTTGCGCTGTCTATCCGTCAGACATACGCTCAGGGCTGAACAACAGGTCTCACTGCAGCACAGCTTCCTCCCAGTCCATTTGTCAGTTAGTACAGATAGATTAAAGCCATGCATTTCCACGAGCGCCCTCATCATATGTCAGGTGTAGTATACTGGCTGCTCTGACAACTCTCACCGCGCGCCGCTCCGCTCCGCACCGGTTTGGTGTGATTAGATAGAGCACACTGTGAGTGCACGTATATGCGAGTGTGTGTGTTTGTTTTAGGACGTGCTTGCGTCCACACATCCTGGTAGCTGGCTGTCACTGTGACATTCAGATGCAACATATCACTTTTCCATAAAGATGTTGCATTTGAAAAGTGACATTCGAAGGCTTTGTTTCGTGTCAAAGTACACATTCAATCTCACCTAAAATGGTGAATTCCTTTGGAAGCCAAACTCCATTTCAATTTCACGTGCCACTGCACCTGTGGCAAAAGTGTAAACAAACATTTGTGAAGGCAGTAAATGAAACAGAACAGACTTGGTGGGGAATTTGCCTTTAGCCTCATTCATTCCAGGATATTAGAGCCGCCGCAGCAGCATACGTAAGAGGGCCATCTTACTCCACTGGAGGCAGACATTAAGAAGGCTAATTGCATCGAGAGAAATTACTTTGAGCCGCCGCGCATTTGGACCCGCCATTTTGCTGCTCATTCCAATCACATTGGCCATCTGAATTTCTCATATAAAATCTGTTGGAGCTACAATCATGTCTGGCTCTGAAATAAGTTTGGATCTGTTTGTGTTGCAGGTCACGACTGGCTGACTTCTTTGTCAACTGCCAGCCGGAGCCTCGCTCGCTGTCGGGCTGCCTGAAGGAGAACTACGCAGACTGCCTCCTCTCGTACTCGGGTCTGATTGGTGAGCACGCTTCATTGTTATTGGTCGGCCTAGTCTCAGCATTCCACTCTGTGGATTGTTGTTAATTTTCTTTCATGATGTCTTTAAAGGATATTATTTCTGACAATTTGGATCTTATTTTTGTTATGTCTTTTTGCTTATGACAATGTTGCACTAACCAAAGTAAATGCTGAAATCTGGGTACACGCATTTGATAGCCAAAATAAGTTTAAATACATAAAAGGTCCTGATTGAAATGGATTACATTAAGTAAAAACAGAACACCACAGATGATCTCCAAGGAAGTCTTCGTTAAGATGTGTCAGCTTGGAATGAACGAAACTTCTAGAGTGCAGATGAGATCCCACCAAGGTAACGCTAAAGTTGTAGCGAGAAAAAAAACTGCCGTGATTTTGGAAACGCTGCAACATCACTTCCAAGTCTGACAAGACTATAAAATGAGCAGTCAAGTTGTAGACTATTTATTTAACCACTTTATTTGGGGGTACAACTTGAAGTGATTACTCTTCGAAGTTGTGGTAGTAATCTCTGATGGAACAGAAAACCTGTATCTGTAGAAGTACAGCAGGTCAAAGGAGAAGCAGGAAGTGGGTCCGTAATGGTGATGATGACTGTTTGCAATGAACATATTGAGTCACAGTCCTGTGCCTCCATTATAGTTTGTCTAATCTGGAGGTTTGTATACAAACTGTTTGATCATCTGACTGCGCAAGTATCTTAAACTAGCCCGCTTTTGTTTTCAGATCTCAGCAATAAACTTGGTGAAAACAATGTTGTAATCAACCGAAATGATGGACACAACTCCAAATTCATTTAATCTAATCCCAGTCTCAGTCAGTATTTTGACCTTCCGAACCGTCCTCACAACCCATTGCGTCCTGGATCGCACATACTATCGCACTGTCCACACGGTGGCAATTCATTCTGCGTGCTGCAAAACCAAAAAGGCCTTGTTTTGGGGGCGCAGCCAGCACCAGAGAACCATCCATTGGTGGAGTGAGAAATCACTGACTGAAGCTATTTACTCTCCCTCGCATGGAGGAAGCCCATTCCTCATTCCGGCTTCCTGAAGAAACTCCACCACACTGCGTTACTCGTGTTCCCGGGAAGGAGAAATAAATGTAACGAGGAGTTAGCTTTGTTATTATGGCATTCATCTTTTAACACAGAAGGAGGATGATAACTTGAGTCCTAAACGGTTTAATATCCTTTTTCTTTTCTCGGCAGTCGGCAGCATATTGGGATTCTCGACTGTAATTTAGAGAGAATCCTCGTGTAGAGATCAAAGACAGATGAATGAATTGTTCCATCCACCTGCTGCAGGTACCGTGATGACTCCCAACTACCTGCGCTTGCCCAAAATCAGCGTCTCACCCTTCTGCGACTGCAGCAACAGCGGCAACAACAAGGACGAGTGTGACAAGTTCACCGAGTTTTTCACCGAGAACACCTGCCTCCGTAAGTTAACCCTCTGCCCGGCTGCTGTCGGACCAGCTGCTCACTGTTCTATTCTTTTCTATTCTACTTTAGTCTTTTTCTGTTTTCGGTTCACTCTCTGTCTCCATCCATCCACTCGGCTCTGCTCCTCTTTTATCCTCTCTTTTCTTCTCTTGTCTCTCCTTCTCTCGCTCTCTCCTTCTAACCAAATATATCCCTTTGCCGTGCTTGCATTGTTATCCCTCTGCATTATAGAGGAACCAGTCACATTGCACCACTCGGTCGGAATGTGTGTGTGTTCGTTTGTGTGTGTATGCCCAAAAGCTGTAGCAGGACTCCTGCTCCAGATCTTTGACAGAAAGCGGCTTTTTCATCCAGCCCTCTTACACAACCACTTTAATTAACAACCCACCTCAAACACACACACACACACACACACTGTCTTTCTCTATCCCCACACACACATACACATACACACACCCATAACCAGCCAAGATGCATAAGTTGCAGGACATTCTCACCGCGCTGTGGAGATAAGAGCCAGATTTATTGTGTGTTTCTCTGTAATCAGAGCTAATCCTGCACCTTTTGCTTTGGCCGTACACTCGGTTGTCAGTCAGCCAGCTGCTTTCCTCCACAACACAGTTTAAGTGTAATGTGATTCCTCATTGATTACTGTTCGGAGGTCAGAACATGGGGCCACGGAGACAGTGTCTTGCTCGACAACGCCCGAGCTGAACGAATGTTTGTAATCACTTACGCTTGGTTTAAGGATTCCAGGAGACTACTTGATTGGATGGCAACAGACTCGGCATGAAATCATTCTCATTGTTACAATGAGGAAAATTAATCCTTTTTAAATGATGAGATCTGTGTTCATTCTAAATGATTAGCTCACGAAAACAAAAAGTGATCCTAACATGGATTGTCATATTCATAATAGGGATAGAAAGGGATGAATGAACTGTCAATAAATAGATTATTGGCAATGATTGCAACTAGAATGTCATGTGAAAGTACGCCTATTGTCTACGAAGTGTGGCAGTCAGGGTTGGGTTTTAATGGCCGATGTTGATGAAATAGCTGGATGTGTTTAGCGCTGAGGCCACCAGATCTCAAGTTTTGATCTCTACTTCTTTTTATCAGCCAAAACAACTGCACACAGGTGGAAGACCTTTTATATTCATCCAATTATGACTTCCTTTAGTCCAAATGGGATTCAGCTGTCTGCTTGCTGTTCTTTCTTATAGCCGGGTTTCTCTCCTCAACCAAAGATGAAAAAGAAAAGTATCTCTATCAAACTCTGCAGCAGTGAGCAGACTCGGCGAAAGCTGAACCCAAATAGATTCAATAAGAGATTTGAAGGGATTTTGGTTTCATAAAATGATTGAACCCCAGTCCTATGGAAGTATAACAGAACCTTAGATTGGCTGTAGCTGCTTGAATTAAATACTAATGGGTTGGGACACAGCTTTTTGGTGATGTGTTTTGTTCAATCAATCAGTCAATTGGTCGATAGGTTCCTGAGTAGGTGTATTGCTGGAAAATGGCGCGCGTTCAGAATAATGAGTCATAGTCTCAATGAGGTGGGTGAGTTTCTGCTGGTGGTTCAGAATGACAGTTACCAGATAAACTCTTCTCTCTTTCACTCACTCATTTGTCCTCTCCTCCTCTATTATCTGTTTTTTTTTCCTCCCTCCTCTTGTTTTCTCTGCTCTGTTGTCTTTTTACCAGTCAGGGTTAACGAGGTTGGTCTGCAGCAGATAATAAGGGCTGCTACAGTCAGTGTGTGTGTGTGTGTGTGTGTGTGTGTGTGTGTTTCTCAGTAAGTGTATTTGTGAGATGTACATGTCTTTGCTTCTGCATGTTCCGCACAGTCATATACGTGTGTTTCAGTGTGTCAACGTGAGATTTGCAATATCAGCGTGTGTTAATGTGGGTTAAAACAAGCTCTCTCTATATATCTATTATTTGCTTTTATTCACTGTGGGGAGCCAAGCGAAGGGCAAAGTGGAGGAACAATTCTCTCTCTCTCTCTCTCTTCCTTTACTGCTTACTCATTTTACCATTACAACCCCTTCCTTCCCCTGTACTTGTTCTCCCGCTCGTGCTTCACGTCGCTTCTTTCGGCTCATCCCGTCTCTCTGTCTCCATGTCCTCCTTTCATACCCTCCTTCTATGCGCTCTAATTAAGCTTGCTCAGCAGTAACTGGAACTGACAACTCTGAAGATCCTGACACACGCCGGTTACAGGGTCATGACTAAAGAGAAGCTACGAGAGGGAACGAGCGAGAAGAGACGGAAAGAGAGAATATGGAAAGACTGAGAGAGAGAGAGGACTTTCTGTGATACTTATACTGCACTTTGGATGCTGTATTGTTCAGAGATGGGAGATGATTGCCTGGGATGAATGCTCTGCTCTTATATGTATACATGTCATACTGTGACAGACACCTATCAGCTCATGTCATATGTCTATTAGCTATGACAAAGTCAAGCAAAATGACCCATTTCCGGAATACGTACTAAATATGCAAAGGTCACACCATCCCGCGTGATGGTGATTCTAGTATTACAGCGAATGTCGTACATGTAAAGTGAGATAAAGTGGTGATGTAGACATCTGTGAGGGGCAAACCCATACTTCCCACACAAATATCTGCTGCAGCGGGAAGATGATATCATGTTTGTTGAAATGTGCTGTTTGCTTTTGTGAAGGTGAAATTAATTTGTGTGTGTGTGTGTGTGTGTGTACTTTTATCTTCCTGAGGACCAGTTTTTAGACCTTGAAAGTGGGAAAGTGGGATATTTCTGGAAAGTAAGGACATTTGTTCTGATCATCACTCCACAAAAGGGCTGTTTGATGGTTGAGACTTTCTTTTTAGGGTTTAGAATAAGGACAATAACGGCAGTTTTTTTACAAGGTGATACTCACCTAATGTGGTTTCAGATCGTGTGCTGATGTCATCCCTTCCTGGAATCGGTGATTGGCTGTAGAAGCAAGCAGCCTCTCCCAGGAGAGCTTTCACTTAAAATAATGAGACTAAGGGCTTTTCCCATTTCACAGTTTGTGCATGCTCAACTCCTTTCCTCGCCTCCTCTCCTCGTCTTAGTCCCGCCCACAGGAGATACGAGCAGCTGGGGGAGGGTGTGGGAGATGAGTCAAGTTAACACGCATTTAACAAAATGAGACATGCCTCTGAGCCGTCTTTAAGAGCGACGTCAATTATATATGACATATACGGTCATAACAATTTGGAGAGTTTATGAATCCAGAGATGTCAGACAGTGTCGAAGTTTTAATTTAAATTTTCAAAAAAAAGATATCAAATAAGCAGACATGTATGTCTTACATCCTGACACTTAATTTGAGATGCTAACAGTTTTTCACACACAGTCACTGTGATGTGAGTATAATTGAGCCTCAGGTGAGGAGGCAGAGGAGCCAGGAAAGAGTCCATCAACACTGACAATATGCTCATCAGCCTTCTGCTGTCTCCGCACAAAGCTACCAGCTACACAATCGCATGCTCACACACATAAGCAAAAATTAAATATGCACACTCATGGGCAAAGTCGCACGTATCAGGGCTGCAGGGTATTGACAAAAATGACTTATTTTGTGCTGATTAGTGCATCTCAGATATGAACGGCAGCACATGTCGCCAGCTTTTTACCATTCATTTATTTTACTAGAAAATGAAAGTAGCATTGTTGAGTTTGAAGAAAATGATTTGTTCCAAATGGCAGTTTATTTCAGATGGGCTCGTCCCATTATATGTGCTGCTCTAATCCCTTCCAACAGCACATACATACACAAATGCACTTAGAAAACAAAGTATATGAATTGGACTAATAACCAATAAAATACCAATGCATGGTTTTATTATTTCTCTTCAGTCATCACAAATTTATGTTTATTATATTTACTTCTTGGTCAGTGTGTGTGAGAGAGAGAGAGGGAGTGTGAGAAAGAGAGAGAGAGAGAGAGAGAGAGAGAGAGAGAGAGACTTTCCATCTTTTGGGATGTCTGGTCTCACCAGAGGTAAATCCAGCACAGCAGATGAAGTCAGGGAGTGTCCGGATCTACTTAGTTCAAGATTAATAGTCACGTTTATTAAATGTGCCGAGTGGAACTAACTCAAAGGTTCTTTTGAGGGCAGGGTAAGTTTTAGCGGAAGGGAAGGAACAGAAAGAGAAGAGACCACGCTGCCCACAGTAACTCTGAACAACACGTGTTTCAGTCAGTCCACTCCAACAAATGTATCAACATGCACGTACACGTTGTGTTGGAATGAACAACAGTACCACAGCTGTGGAGCACAACAACAGCCACCTTTCTACTCTTTTCTTATTCTTATTATTTACATCATTATCTTGATGTCTTACTCTGCACAACGTACAGCAGTAACTGGTCATCACTATCCATTTTCGGGGCTCCGACACAGTAAAATACATAAAAAGAGGGCTGTAAGATGCCACAGTGTGGAATCGTGGACTTGAGTCAGCACATTTGCCGACTTCAGACTCACAAAATCCAAAGAGACTCACAACTTACCTGTTACCTCCTCAGCAAGAGGTTATGCCAAAACAACAAGAAGAATGACTCGTATGAGTGTTTTCTGACCTACTGACTCTTTGTTTCGGGCCCGTTTGTGTTTGGGAGAGATATTGTATCCATGAATTAAAGAAACAAACGTTGAATGTTGACTTGAACGACTTCATGTCCTCCGGCTGGTGCCAACATCATATTCAGAGAGACAGCAGTTATTCAGACAGGTGCTCAAATTATACATAAAAGCCAACATCACTTGTTGTGATTCACACTTGAATGAATGCTTTGAATTCAAAAGCAGGAGTTGTTTAAGGTGTTTGGAGTATTTGTGCAGAGAGAGGAACAGAAAGGAATGAACAATGAAAGCTGCCGTTATTAACCTCTGTATGAGAAGATGTTTTTATTTTGATATGAGATAAAGACAGCTTGTGATGGTACGTTTTTATCTATTGATTGATTGTTAAATTAATTTGCATAGCTTATTTTGAATACATGTGGAATGGCACGACCACATCTCTGAAAGGTTGGTCAGTATTATTTATGTTCATTTGATGATACAACTTTTTGGTCTGTTTTTTTACTTACAGTATATATATATATATATATATACTGTAAGGAATACACTGAAAACCAATCAGCTTATCCACCATCTAATGTGAATATATGCTGTACATCATGTAGACTTATTTCAGTAGGGTTAAAGAGCCGTTATGCAGATCAGCTCTTCTTTCCTTTACGTCAGTATCAGAGTCATAATTCACTGTTGGAGGGAAGAATATCATTACGTTCAAACAGCAGCTCTGTAAAGCTCAGCTTTCCTCTGATGTGTGTGTCTTTTACATCAAAGCCATAGAACGCTATTAATAGGGCCACTAATGGACTCTAATGGTAAATAGCCACCTCAGCACTCAGGTTTTTGACTGTGTGGTGAATTTATAATGTGGGGGAAGTGATAACAAAACTTAAGTACCTTCTAACTCGCCTTTAATTGTGGTTTAGGCCGGTGCGATACAAAGCTTTATTCTAACATGGGGACCAACAAGCACGTGATTCATGATGAGATCCAGCTTTTCACTCGTCAGGTGAAGTGTTTGGAGCATTTAATCCGAGTAAAACATAACGTTAACATCGTAGTCAGGATACACTTGTTGGTTTAAATCACCGCCGGTTGTATGGGTTAATGCAGTTAACCTCAAGCATTAGTTTGTTTGCCTTGATTGTCTACTGACTTGCTTTATGTCCACCCCCTAACCTACACGCTAAAACGTATTTGTTGTTCACAGCTATAAAGTCCGTCCGTCACTTTCCCTGTGCAGGTAATGCCGTCCAGGCCTTTGGGAATGGGACGGATGTGGGAGTGTGGCAGCCGATGTCCCCTGTCCAGACCACCACCTCCACCACCACCCCCTACCAGAGGAACCGTGAACGCAACCCCAACACCATCGACAACACCATCAACACAAACCCTGGCATCTACCACTTCTGTGGCAGCCTACAGGTTAGACACACACACACACACACACACACACACACACGCACAAGCTGGTTTTGGATTCAGAGGCCGACTGTGTTCGGAGGCTCAAGGTTTCCAGTCAGTCTGGGACAAATCTGATCCCATAACATGAAAACATTTCAAAACATGTTTTATTTCTTTTGTGTGCTAGAATGAAAGATGTTACAGATGGACGAAGGTTCTGAATCCCGTATGCTCTTTATCTCACCTGCAGATCTATCAGTCTCTCTGTCCATATGTCTCCAGTGTCTGTTCATCTGCTGCTGCTCTCCGTTTCTGTTACCTCACTGCCTCTTCACTCTCTTTTTACTTTCAGACTGGCTCCATTATTGTCATAAATCACCACTGAAATAATAAGGAAAACAACAATTTAACAATTGATAACACCAGCAAGGTGGAGACTGTTGTTGTAACTTTTCCAAAATAGTTAGTTTTTATCATTATAGCTGGTAAAATGGTTCCAAATTGTACTCTGTTTTCCTGCAGGGCCAGCAGCATCTCACTGCAGTAAATCATTTAGCGAAAGTATTGGTACATAAAATACGACTGCGTGTTGTGCTCGTGGTCTCCTTCACCCTCGTCAGTCCGGCTGTTGACACACTCGTGTGTGCCAACCCCATTGTGCCCGATAAGGCACTGACAGTTGGAGCAGCCACTCCTGCTCTACAGGAACAACAGTTATCCGGCTGATGAAACTGGGGGATCACAAGCAGCAATCCTGAGCAGCGGTGATGGGCTCCCCCTGGGTCGGGGAGGAAGTGGGGATAATACCGTCATTACCAGCAGAGCGATGACAGGGACTGAGAGCTATTTCACATTTAATAATACTGCAACCCGATGAAGCGTCATGAAATTACACAAAGTCATTGTTTACCCGCGGAAACAGAAAATCCTGCAGCAATTTCAAACTGAAATCCACATTAATCATTAAGTACAATCTTCTTTAAAAGCACCACTTCATGTTGCTGTTATTGTTCATGATGCTCCACACTGCATAGGAGGGTATTGTTTATGTTGTGGCTTAAAATCACCAGTTTTCCCCTGCAGATGTTTAAACAGCAGCAGTTTGTGTGTTTCTTAACTGAGCATACTCAGAAATAACAAATACCTTTATTCACTTTTCAAAATACAGTTTTTGATTGTTTTGGCACTTGGGGAGGGGGGGGGGGGGCAGTAGAACAAGATGTAAACAATTGCTTATTTACATATCCAGAAGACATAAGCATTCACGACTCTTCATTTAAATGCACACTTCTTTTACCTCTGTTTTGTTCTCCACCATCTCCGAAAGGTAACACCTGGCTCTTTAGCACCACTATGTTCACAAGCTAGTTGCTAGCTTTTGTTTGTATGCAGTTTGGTGCTCTGTCTATCAGCTTTTACACTGAAAGCAGCTCCATGATATTGCTGGAAACGGGCTTGATGAGAGCGGTGAGAGTTAACCAAAACAGTTGCCATCCCTAAAATACAGCACACTACTATAATATTGATTGAGAAGCGCATGCGAGACCAAGATGACGTGCTAAATAATAAATGTAGCAAAATGCTATTGTAAAAAGCGATTTAATTTTGTTGGCCAAAAGCTAAAAGCTTTATTCTAGACCCGGCCCTACACACATACTGATTTGCAGGCATACTGTCCTGCAGCTTTAGTTCACACAGACAGATATTGCAGACAGATGCAATTACAGACAAACACACACAAATGCCAGTGCGCTGACACGCTTACACAGTCTGCACTGATAATGAGCTTTGCTTGTGTAGTGGTGCGTATGTGCTGTCGGCACTGCTCTGATAGCACGTCAAGTTCAAGTTGATAAGAGAGTTGTGTTGAAGCACTTTTCTAGTGTATATGTACATGTACAGTTCCTCAGTGGAGTGTGTACTGCATGTGTGTAGGATTTTGAGTGTGTATGTTGGCATCAAGGCAGGCTATGCTGTTGTAATGACACACTCGAGGGACAAGACCTGTGAGAAGATGCACTCCGCTCTTCTCATTGATCTCTCTCTTTCACACACACGCAGAATAATAACCATCAACCAGTGACTCAGAACCTTGCTGTTCTTTCACATCCAGCCAACGACAGCCCAGCAGCACTTACAGTGGTGCGTTTTCCATAGCTTGAAAGAGAAGAATCGAAGATTGGAGAGCGGAAGGTGAAACCAGTTAAAAGCTCCTCAGCTCCGAGTGTTTCTTTTAGGAACGTGAGGAAAAAATACCTTCCGTTCGTCAATGTTCTCAATTCAAGTTTCACTCATCTGTGACAACGGAATAAAGAGTGTAGTTCTTAGTGTTTTAAGTCATGTCGGTCTGTCGACTGGTTCAGACTTCAATACCACAGCAAATAATTGATTGTCATGAAATTTAATTTGTGTTTTGGGCTGATTAGCAAATGTTAGCAGACTAACATGCTAAACTAAGATGATGAACATGGTAACCCTTAAATCTGCTTGTCAACAGCATTTTAAAATTGTCATTGTGAGCATGTTGCAGCTAGCAGTTAGCTCAAAGCACCGCATCACAGAGCCGTTAGAATGTCTTCTTCTTCTTCTTCTTCACGACTTTTTCTTCACGACTTCTTCGTCTTGAGTTTTGAGAGGAAATTTAAAAACCTATAGGACTGCTTTTACGTTTCATCACACAACAGAGTTGGCCCCACAGCAAACCCACCACAGATAAAACGACTTATACACACACACAAACACACACATAGTAGACTGGAGAGACATACACACACACACACACACACACATACACAGTTTGCAAGCCCCAGGGCTCCATCAGCCTGTTCTTATGAATACAGTTGACTCCCAAGCAGGCAGGAAGTGCCCTGGACAAATATGGAAATCTACCTCATGCTAATGTGACTTTTCAGAACAGGCAGGTATTAGGCAAATGCAAAACACGTGGACACAAGGCAAGAATATATATTTGAATTTGTTGACGTACAAATATTTGTGAGTGGAAAATAAGCATTGCAGATGTTTAATATTGAAGGATACATACAAAGGTTATATGGTTTTCATATGCTGGCATGATTTACAAATCTTAAGATACTGTATCCATCCAGCTCAGAAATCACAAAGCTGGATGTAAAGGGGAAGTTAAACCCAAAGTGTCTGCGTGGCTAGACTGTACTAGAGGTAAGTAAGAAAAGATAGTTAAAATGCAGCATTTGTTAGATATGAATCGAGATCGATAAACATTTCACAGCTTTTCTGTTTACTTGTAGAAGTGGAAGGTCTGATCTTGAGTTACTTGACCCTTTTGTTTACATTTGGATCACAGATTGTGCCGTTAGTTGTGTCCGTGCGGCAAGACGAGCCTCTAAATTGCTGAATTTGTTAGTTTTGAATCACAGTGGAGACATTACAGCAGTAAAAACATTAGCAGTGGCAGATGGAGCCCTACTTCGGAGTGGAATGGAGTCTACGTTCTAAGATTCACTCGCGTATCATTTAAATTTCCAAATGTGTTGTGAAACTCTCAAAGTGCCCTCAGGATTTCAGACTTTAGCGATGAGCTGTAAAAGTGTAATATCGTTATGATCTCTCTGTGTTTTTATCTGAGTTGTGAAAACTAATACATCTAAGCCATGACTCCTAACACAGATGGGTACTCATCAGGAAACACAAACTGTTGTGTTTAATCATCGAGTTCCTCACATCGGTTTTCTTTTCTTTTCTTTTGTTGCTACCACACTTTGAATTCCTGGCTTGCTCTTTTGTTGTGATCTTTATACGGAGGACTGCAAATACACCGTGATTTATAGGCATCATTCCACCTCAGCTTTTTTCTTTTTCATTTAGTGTTGAAGCAAAGGTGTAATAACAGAATACAGTGACTCGCTTTCTGTATCACATTGCCTGCAACATCCTGTACATCCCTATTTTTGGTCTGAATTCACGATACTGTGAAGCCATTTATTATTCTGTCACACCTTCACACACACACACACATATACACACACATATACACACGCATAAATACCCAGAAGCCATTCATACATTCACTTATAGCATCTGTACTGAATGCAGAGAAGCAACGGAGAAAATCTTCTCTCAAGACACAAACTGTAAAACTTCTAATCAGACGCTTTATTTACCGAATACAGAAGCAAAGAAAACGAGATGTTCAGATGCTGATTACAAGGCCTCGTCATTAGCTTGCAATCAACTAAAGTGCTAATCACTTTTACCTTTTACCAAATATACCCGAAGAGTAAAAGAGAATGAGAAATATTATTGTGTGCTGAATACATTTTGTTTGTGCTTTTATTTATTTTTCTGGTTCATGACTTGATTGCACACGTTTTTCCTTATACATTCATTTAAACTGGAGCTATAAGGCCTCAAATACACAATTGTAGTCGGTGCTCTTTAATACGGTGCATCCTTATGATATTCTTGATATAATATGTAGCAATGTACTATATATGATTCCATTTAAAGATACAGGAAATACTAAAGTTCCAGTACAGCCTTTGTGGAAATTACATTCATCTCGGATGATTCTGCAGCATTCACATTGTTTAGTGATGGCCTTTGTAGGCTAGAAGAATGTTTGGAGTTTGGTATGGTGTTACTGTCCCAAGTATTAACCGAGTGTTTTAGTTGCCCAAACGTATGCAGACCTCAACCACTGCCTGCTAACCACTCACTGTTGGTTTCTTTGAACCCTGAAAGGTTCTTTTTCCAAATGTTAACCTTAATAAAGTAGTTTTAGATAACGAAACGTAGGTAGACCTTAACCACAGAGCTGGCCAATCCCAAACCAAATCAAAAGAGTTGTTTTGGAAGACACTGATAGAAATGGCAGCGCATTAATACGCAGTAAGTTACATGAAGAACACATTCAAGCACTCAAAGCACACACAGCAGCCTCCAACCTTCGTTTACACACGTGGAAAATGTGTTTGCATGCGTGTGTGTGTGAGAGAGAGAGAGAGAGAGAGAGAATCAAAGACTGTGCGACAGCCATTGAATGATAAATCTGAGATGAAATCAAAGTCTGGGTTTGACTGTCCCTCTGTGCTCAGCCTCACTCGTCTTCTCCGACTGAGAATATGAGAGGCTGTAAAGGTTTAACAGGCTCTCAAGGTAAACTATCCAAGATTATTGTAGGTTGGGTTTTTTAGCGTCAGTTTCCAATCTGTTGTTGTGATCGGATCAGCGCAGAGCATTCATAAACGTTCAGATTGAATGTGATGCTTATTTGAAGTTCAGTCACAGTGTTTGAACACGGGTGCGTGTGTGTGTGTGTGTGTGTGTGTGTGTGATGTTTGTACCTGTTGTGTCAACATATTGACAGAATATGCTCAGTCTGATTAGATCGCAGATTGTTCCATCGATTGACGATCAAAGCAAATTAATTACTGCAGATCCTCTGTGCGCTCTCAGTTGTCAAAGAGCTTAAATGCTTCTCTGTCCTTATGTAATGTGAAAACTTTAAGAAATGGGTTCACCTTGAAACTTTATTAATATGTAATCTGTTTGTCATTCGGATCTTTTATCATCATCGCGGCAAACAAAACGTTTTTTGTGGATGTTTTGTGTCATAACATGGATTCTGATTCTCTCTATCTTTCTGTTGCAAGCGCAGAAATTGAAGTCAAACTCAACTGTTGATGGTGTCTTCTGTGTGGTAAGTCTATTATGTAATAAAATTAATTTTATGAATTTAAACTCGATTCATGAGAAAATGTATCCAATGAATAACAAATGTTATTCTAGTCGAACAAAGAGCTTTCTACTTCCAGCGAAGCAGCTGGTCAGTTTAAGTAAACTACATAACTTTGAGTGGAGCACAATAAAATACTCGAAGATATTCATTTAACTAAAGGTTGGAATAGTTTCAAGGAATGGATCTCACCATCTGGGCAGCCATTGTTGACTGTTAAGCATGTTTCAACTCTTAGCAAGCTGATTATTGCAGTGCATTTGGATATTATGTATTGATGACATAGGGACACTTTGTCAAAAGTGCTACCAAAGAACCCCCCGGTAAGACTACCATTTGGGAAGAAATATCACAGCCTGTCAAAACCTGGATGTGTTGAGAGATGAACTCTAAAAACGATTCACCTTTACACCAACAAACAATTTCATTAAAGACTTTTAATTGCTCGAGCTATCAAATAATCACAAACTGTAATCCGACCTCGACGTTGGAAGTCTCTGACCTCCTGCTGACTGTGATTGCCGCGGCAATCCTTCCCGCCTCCTTTGTAAACTCCCGGTCTTTGTAGTTCCTTTGAGGCTTAAATGGAATTGTTGCTTATCTGGTGGCTTTTAAAGTTCACTGGAAATGTCATTGTACAATAATAAGGCACTGTTATGCACTGGACTGACATTTAATAGAGGCAGGGACAGGTCTGGAGGAGATGACCCAGCCGTTAGCTTGCAGCTTTATTAGCAAGCAAAAGACCGGTGGTGAAGCTCTACACACACACAGACTTACGCATGATGGCACACACACACACACACACACACACATAGGTCTTTGCTCTCCACTGTGGCATTTTAATTATGAGAACAACCTTTTGATTTTTTTGCTGTGTCATACAAGATGAATACGCTTAAGAGTTTTTAATAGGTGATATTATTGAATTAAACTTGAAGTATGCCACATCTTGCATGCATTAATTAAACTGCAACCTAATGTCCGCTGTATCTCCCGGTGAATATAAGATGCCGGTACCGGTAGAAAAAAAATCCAATGTGTGTGATGCATAAAAAAATTAAATAAATGAAAGACCTAAATACCCAAAACGTGACAACGGCTCTTGATGCTGGAAATGCTTGGCAGCATTTTATACCATTGTAGTTGGTTTTTTGGTGGTCATTTGTCAAGCTGTCTTGAAAAAGATCCCAGAGTCTGCTGTGGATGAGATCCAGAGGCACCTGCCACAGCTGATTCATGGAACTTTCTCATGCCACCATCTGGGCATTCGGACCAGCGACAACTGTGTGGAAACCAGTTGTCTCTGAATAGTCACATTGTCCAAGACTACGTGAGCTTAATCTTACAGAGGAAGAGGGAATTGATATACTAACCTTTGTATATTATCCAGATTAAGCATATGCTTTAAGGCTCACTGTTTTTCCTCATAAACTACATATATAGGAATATATTTGTGTGTGTGTTTGCACTGCAAAGGGGAGATAACTTCAAACTGATTTTTTGCTAATCCTGCCCTGCTTAGCTACAGTTTAGAATTAAATTGTGGTATATTTGCCCTCCAACGTTTGTCATAATTTTTGGAACAATGGGTTCCTGGTCTCAAAAACGAGTATACAACAGATGGCTCCTCTTTTTAGAAGGCAACAGTTGATTTTGCTGGTTGAAATGACTCTCACTGCTAGCTAGCCACCCAGCGTTGCATTCGTGATTTGGTCAGAACATCTGTCCCCAGCTAACTTTCTAATGTGTCCAGCTGACTCTGTTGTGCATTCAATGGCTAGAAACTGACAGCATGCTTAACTCTTTGCTGTAATGGTGCAAAAAAAGAAGAAAGGCTGAAGCTCATGTCCCGGGGTGAAAAGTCAGCATCCTCACGTTCATGTAGAAGACGTGAAAATCATTCTTATATTCAATGGAAGAGCCAGTTAGCTTTAGTGCAGTTCAACCCGCGGTGCGGTGCGTTTTGGCAGTTGATAACGCAGTAATCACACTGTGGTGCGGTCCAAAGCAACCGGTTTCCAAGCGACTGGTCATACAGTTCCATTGCAGTGAGAACATAATCTCCCCCCCACCCCACCCAATAGCAGGAAGTGAACCAAGATGCAGGGTGCCTGCGTGGGCATTTGTTTAGACACAGATAAATGGTCAACATGAGTGAAAGAGGACTGGGTCGAAGAGAACACACAGAATACACTAAGTAAAGTCCCCTCAGCAAATGTATTTTGTTATTCGGTCAGCTTTATTTGTGCTCTGTGATTCCGAACCAACTCTCTGTCTCTCCCCCAGGACCCCCAGACAGACGGTCAGAGTACGTCCAATGCCATCGTGGAGAACTCGGCTGTATCCACACGGACCGCGGGTCTGGCCTCTCTGTTGCCCCCGCTGCTCTGGCTGTGGTACTGTGGCCTGCTGGCGCTTTCCTCACCCGGCTTCTTGTAGCCTCGCCGCTTCACACCAACAAACTACAACGGACTGACAAACACACATTTGTATAAAAGAAAAAGCAAAACAAGAAATTATAATCTTTCTTCTCAGTAATACCTGTTTTACTCTTATTTCCCTCTGGATTCTCGCTCTCTTTTTAATTCCTACTATGTTTTTTTTATGAATTTTGTTGTTTTTTTGCATTGCAGCTGTGTGCTAAAATTGTAGTCTATATGTGTTAACTCAGTTTGGCTGTGTGTTCCCTTTGGGTTAGTTGTTAGTTAAGGGATTTAAGGCTTCCGTGTTGCTCTTTTGGGCAGAAATGAGAACATACTCCAGGACTACATTCCAATAAACCACAGTTGGTGGCTCCTGGAAAGGTGAACGCAGTGTAAAATAGCATTGATTTTTCAGAGTCGTCCCCCACGTCTGTTTGTGTGTTGAGGCTATTGGTGGGATCTTTTGCTCAAAAGTCACAGTCAGTTCAGTAATGGCTACATGTTATCACTTGGGCAGCCTTTTAGGTGTTATTCAGTCTCCTCTGTGCTTTATGTATGTTTTGATAATGACTTGATCTGGTATTTTACATTTTTATGAAAGGTCCACGTGAATATTTACCTGACAAAAAAAATGAAATGAATTTCAGGGTAAATACCAGTAACTGGAAACATCAGAGCAGTTAGAACATCTGCGCCCAAACCGTCTTTACTGAACACACGTTGCCGCTGGCAAAAGCACACAGGCAAAGACCCACAAACACACACCGCACACTTTCACACATTCAGACAAAAACACAGAAACAGAGACACACACTGCGCCCTGCTTTCTACTCCCTTTTTTTTTAAACAGCTGGATTGATACTCCGAGATCACAGGAGTGTAGGTCCCACGCTGCTGTGGATGGCTGAATCCACTCCACTCATCAGTGATTGTACATACTTGTAATTGTTCGAAGTCCGAGCCATGTTCAGTGTTTCTCTGTGGAAGGTGCCAGAGAAGCTGCTGCAGCTTTACCTGAATGATTTCTTTCTTCTTTTATTTTTGTGTACTTTGATTCACTGCGTCCACTAAAACGAGCTGTGGATAACATATTGTTGTGGAGTATATATTCAATGGTAACTCACAGCTCCATCGCGCCAAAGCTCAATGCCTCCATTTGTTTCTGTCAGTTCAGTGTTACGACTTTTTGCTTCAATTGTAAAACTGTCAACACGTGTTTGGGGAGGGAGTGATCTCTTGATATTGACCTTTTGCTAAGCCCCACTACTCCTTCTTACTCTCATTGCAACTGTGGATGTTCCAGGCTTGTTCTAACATAACTTGTAACCCCATCAAATCATGTAGTTAGCTGTGATATGCTCAGGCCCTCAGGCAGTTTGGGACGGACAATCCGTTCCAGGCCGAACCAGCCGCTGTTCATAGCATTTTATTTGTCAGTTTGTGATGTCTGTTACTTTATGGTCCTCATCCGTGGCATGGGCTAGCCTGGCCCGCCCAGCCGCAGGTGTCAGAAAGACATCTTAAAGTATGTTGTAGGTCTTCATCTACCGCAAATATTGTGTTTGTGTTGAAATCACAGCCAAAAAACAGCTTTTTCGGCATGACAAGCCTCTGCTTCTCTAAGTCTTGGGCTGAATTTCAGTCCCGGTACGTCCCTGGATATTCTCCTTGGCTGTTGAAGTAACTCTATTCTAATAATATTCAGCCAGGTGTGTTAACATTAGCAGCCAAGAAGTCATACTGTTTAATCTATTCTCATCACTTTTGCTCTTATTTCTGTTATTCTGGAAAGGGGGAAACAATGCTTGTTGGGTCCACACTATGGCTCGTTTTATTTGCCCCATGAAGCAATGTTGATTGGACGACAAAGCTGCTGTGACTAACAGTTGTTCAATTTCGACTGAGGAACCATCACTTGGGGGAGGGGTTCAGCAAACAAAAGCGTAGTTTGCAGCAAATGCGCAGCATGTGACGTAAATCGTTCAAGCGTTTTCGTAAATATACTCCCGAGAACTGCTGGGATTATTTTTTTAAAAGCCACAGCATCGTCATCACGTTCATTTCTCAGATGTAGACGCGTACAGCTGCTTTTCAGATGAAGGCCTATGGTTTTAGAATTGTCCTCACAGGAAATACACTTCCTTACAACACACGATCAAGACGTTTACATACATCACTGTGGCATGTTCAGCAAGTTACTTCAGCCATTTGCACACTGACGGCAGCATTTATGACACGCTGCTTGGGGTCATGTAGCTTCTCAAAAACATGATTAATGTGTAGTAGAACTGAAATGTTATTTACCGAGCATAAACATGGTATATGCACTGTATGTACTTGGCTGAAACTATAAATTGGACAAATAAATGTCTGATGATATTCTACTCCGGAGCATTGTGAGCTATTTTGACTTTCAGATACGACATAGAGTACATTGAATAAACCAGAACATTGTTTGTTTTTTTATGTGTATATTTCTTCCAGTATGTACATGATTATGGAATATTATTGCATCTGAGAAAGAGGATATCAATGTAACTCTCCTACTGTAGTTATATACAACTTTGTTTCCCAAGCATATTGTTTTGTACCATAGCCCCATTTATAATGTTGCTTAAATATAGTATTGAGTTGTGTTTTTTGGCTAAGATTTGAACTTATTTTTCTATCTTTTACTAATTTCTGCTGTTTTGAAGAGTTGAAGTTGACGAGGTGGACCGGGCACAGAGAGCTCATACTTAAACCGTTCAACTTTTGAAGACTTTTCAGTGCCGTTACCGTGATTCATTACGGTGACAATAACTACAGGTTGAGCAAGAAAGAAGACTGTCAATGCATGGTGATTGAGAAGGAAATAAATCAATGTTAAAGACAAATATATTCTATACCGTACCATTGAAGGCTTATTTTTTATGGTGTATTTGACCAGAGGTGGCAACAGTGAGCAAACATTTCCACGAATTGAATGTGTGAAGTTTGGAAGGAAAGTTGCTTATGAGCGGCTTCACGACAAAAACTGGGACTGGTTACATTTCTCAGAATTGTGTCTTACTTATTTGTGTCTGTTCATGTTTTGATTTGAATCCCAGTGTCATATCTTCATTGGAACAGGAATACGAGACAAAGTAAGGTTTATAGCGGTGGTTCAGTGCTCCACTGTTGTTTAAAGAGTTCCTCTGAGCACAGAAGGCCTCACGACTTGGGTCAGGTCCTCCTGATGTAAAGGTCCCAAGAAAAAAAAAGAAAAAAAGTTCAAGATGTTGAATATGTTTGCTGTCCATCTCCATCCCATCTGTTGTTACAAAATACCAAAAATGGCTTTTTGGAGATGCAGACTCCCTCAGCCATCCGGCATCATTAACTTCTTAGCTTGTGAAAATGTAAAATCTATTGTACAAAAATTATGATTAAAAACTGTTAAATCACCCAGACTGTCTGTACGTGGTGTTATTTCACAGAACAAAGACAAGAAGAAATCATCAGACAAAACTGGCAGAGGCCTGGGAATCACAGAGAGGTGACGTAATTAATTTGAAAGAAGGTTTTGAGGTGATCCCGAGGAGCCTGATAAAACCTCACCAGTTGATGTCGTTGACCTCAGGGTTACCAAGCTGAAAGGAACCGCGAATAGCAAAGAGAAGAGACCAGATAAAGAAAGAGTCATTGAAGTTTAGGACAACCTTTTCTTTTTTAACTTTGCCAAAGTGGCAGGTGAGGGAAGGGGTCGCATCGGGCTGGCAGAGCACTCCTCAGCGACACTTTATCCTCCAGTGCTGCTTGACCCGGACCACAATCTCTGAATCCAGGATCACCTGCAAACAACTTGGCTGATGATTCAATTCATGTTCAGTTACTTCATAAAACCCTTTTGAAACTTTTATTGTTCAAAGAACTGAAAAATGACATGTTGAGCTTCTAAACTTTGACATTATTTGAAGGAGTCATTGCAGCTAAAAAGTGACAGTTGTGGGAATGTTGAAATCAATCCTCATTCAACAAACAATGGTCATAAAAATGCTGTCAATTTTACCTACAGCTCCAAAGAATAGACCGACACACAGTAATGCCCATTAGTGACAGGCACAGTAGGTTGGGTATCTAAAGGCTTATTGGAAAGGCATATGCATTGTTGCAAAATGTGCGTTATTATGACTTTTGACACAATCAAGCAGGGGGTTGGGGGCCCCCTCAGGACCATGATGTGGCTCTGTCAGGGCCTGGTGGTGCAGGTTCGCACGCAGGCCTAGCTGTTGTTGATGTTGATCCACTGTCGGTATTCACGTTTCTTTGAAAGAAGCTGCACAGAACCATGGACTGACAGTGTAGACATGCTTGTATCATACCTGATATTTCCCATGACTGTACAAAAACCACAGTTAACGAATCTTACTAAACCCTAACGCTCCTCTCTACGTATACGAAACGGCTCCGCTGTAATTCAAACAGGAGACCACGAATAGTCGCAGAGCTTCAAAGTTATTCATTAAAAGCACTTTTCTTATAATTTCATGGAAAATGAGTTGGATGGAAAAGTGACGGCGTAAAGAGGCTGCTGGGCCCCCGGCTCTCATTTATGGCTCCACGTGTCATATTATGAGATGTTGACAGTCATTGACATAGTGGACATCTACCGACACATTTCTGTTATGGATGAATAAAATATGAATGTAAAACAGAAAAAGGGTGACCGGGAAATGGTCCGACGCCTTCACACCGTCGTCATTAAATGCCAGAAAATGAGTCTGAGATTTGAATGCAATTTCTAGTCGTAATTTTGATTACTCTTCCAACTCAGCCATTAGACTACTAACTCCACGTCCTCGAGCCCTCATACAGTGCACTATAATAGCCGTCATCGCAGTAGAACCACATTTGCTAAGGATGTATTTAGTTTGGGAAGTGGACAAAAATGCCACTTGATCACTTGTTGTAAGAGGCGGCACGAAGCCAGATCTGAGTCACTGTTCATTATAAGTACATACTTTTAAATTCAGAAGATTTACTTTGTCATCATAGTATAGTTTTCATCTGCTTTAACCAGTGTGTAGTCTTATGTTAAGTTTGGGCAAGCGCAACTTTATTTAAGTATTCCATCTCATAAACAAAGGGAAACTAAACTCGTTTTTTTTTCATTTTATATTACATAAAAAATGATTGCATGTTACAGCAAAAACATTTTTTTAACAGGGACCCTATTTTCCCATGTTTCAGTGTTCTGACTGGTGACATGATCATCATTTTTAAAATCGGTCCAGTATTGAGGGAGAACGCTGTGACCTGCCACCGCTGAATTATTAAATTAAATTAATTAATTATGGAAAGGAATACATTGAAAATCTTTGAGTTTTTGACAGTTGATCACACTAAACAAGCAAGTTTAAGGGGTCACCTTAGACTTAAGGAACTTCAGATTCAGGAGAAAGAAAAGGGTTGATTATATATCAGTGGATTGAAGGGAAGTTAAAATTAACATTAATTAATTAACCATCCACCTATACTGTTTTTCAGATAAAATGTCCACAAATGTAAATCTCCCTTTTTTCCTGGTGACTTTCCTGTCACGCAGACTCAAACAGCACATGCTCTGAGGGGCGCTGCCCTCAACCCGCTGTAACATAAAGCACATAGCGTCACACAAATACATCACACAACCCTGGAATTAAACCCCCGTGGCTTCGAAGCAGAACTGTAAAGACAGCTATTAATATTACATTCGGTAAATGTGGGCAATTGGATTTTTGATAGTAGGCGGCATTTCACATGCAGAGATGGAGTTTATTAGGAGCCATTAATGTCATATTGTCTTACTGTGGAATGGAGTCAGTGGATATAAGCACACGATGTGGGCTGTCACGGAAGTTGTGGAGCTCGGTCAGGTGCAAGAATAATGGAGTGCCTTGAGAAGAAGAAGGAATGGCAGTTGGTCAAACCTCTAAATCACGTCGTTTTTGAAACTGCCATGAATGAGCTTCCTCTCACCATGACTCAAACTAACATCTCCTCCCTCGTCATTTTAGTCAAGGATTGACTTCTCAAAGATCATTTGGACCGCTTTCCTAATCATTGATGTTATTGTTGTTTTATTGTAGTAAAGTCTAGATTTGCTTTATTCATTCTTGCTGCCAGATACAGACAAGGCTATAATTTCTATTCATGATTTTGGAAACTTTAGATATTACGTCTGTTTGTACCCCATTTTTACAACATTCTTGAATCAAGTTGAATTCTATTGGAAGCATATTTACTGGCCTGCTATTCCTTGTTGTAAAAAGGAAGAACGTCTTTAATTGTCACTTGACATGAGCTTATTTGTGGATAGATAACTTAAGACATGCATGGAGACCATCCCAGTGAGAAGAAGATGGGGATGGCTAGGACATGTGTTGAGAAAATATCCTGCTGATATTACAAGAACAGCCTTACATTGGACACCAGAAGGGAAAAGAAAAAGAGGCCGACCAAGAAACACATGGAGGAGAACTGTGGAGAAGGAGGTGCAGAGCCTAAACCACTCATGGGGCACGGTCCAGCGACTCGCCCAGGACAGACAGGAGTGGGAGACTTTTGTTGCTGCCCTACATGCCAAGAGGCATGAAGGGAAATGATGACGATGAACTTAAGACATTTAATGAAGAGGTGGTCGATTCACAGTTGCTGATTTGATGCTCAGCTTTAATTTTCTTTGTGTTTTAAATGATACGGAGGCCACACAGATTGTGCTGATATTGTCCATGTGGCCCTGTTGTGAGGATGTGTAGTTGTAATCTAATGAGCACCTCGACTTCAAGATTCTTCAGGACAGGTGATACATATGAATAATAACCAGAATAAAACTGAACCAAGCTCATCATTAGAATTGACTCTCATGCTGCAGTCTCATCTGCTCACGCTCATAACAAGGATATTATGTTTGGATACTTTCTTTTATTTTTATTTTTTGTAGTTTGTCGATACCAAAGCTCTATTCATTTAACAGACAGTTTATAAGAAGAGATCATAAAACTTCACATAAACACGTTGGGTCTCTTGACACCAGCATGAATTAAAGTCTTTTAATGTATCACAGAGTAGATTCATGTCACTATGACAAATAGTTTATGAATACTAATCAATGTGTTTGTCGTAATCATCTTTGTCAGTCATCGTTTAATTATGCTGGTTGTTTACAACTCTAATGACTGAACTTTTTGTTTCTTTCAGCATTCTGTTGTAACAGACAGTGATGGTGTTAGTCATTTGGTCAAGGGATTTATAAACATTGATATGTTTCCTGAAGACAGATTATATTCTTGTATAAATAGTGGAGTAAAATAAATAGCAGGTATACTAATCTTTGAGTACAGAGTACCATAATGTTTTTCCCCTATCCTGGTTGATCTTAATAACATAACTCTTTGAAAGGGAGGAAAAAATACATGGTTTCATTAAAAAAAAGAGTTAATAAATAAGAGAATACATAAGGAGTCCCCCACATACCTTTTGACAAACTCCAAACCTCTTTTCTAAAGTGTTTTTCTTTGAGCGATGGCTTCTTTCTGGCCACTCTTCCATAAAGCTCAGCTCTGTGTGCACGGCTGTAAGTGGTCCGATGGACGGACGCCCTAATCTGTGGAGCCTTCCAGTCCTTCAAGGTTATCGTTGGTCTGTTTATGCCGTGAGTTTTGATGCTCTCTTAGTTTGTTGTGGTTCCATATTCTTTCATTTTTGTAATACTGTATTCAACACTGCTCCGTTATATAATGTGAGTGCACACAGGTGGACTTTAAGATATTTATCTTAAATCATATTTACTTCTGGAGATAATTGGCAGCACCGGATCTTATTTATAGGTTTCACAGGAAGGTTCTTTTTAAAATGAATTAATTCATTTTGTTAATTATACTTCACCAATTTTGACTATTAAGTATAAGTCCATTACATACAATCAGAATAAATGTCCACTTTGATTCCATGTCGTAATGCAACAAAATAGGAAAAACACCAAGAAAGCTTTTGCAAGGCAAAGATGGTAAAGATGTAAATAAAGGTGCTTTAAAATAAAACAACAAAACACACAACTTTGAATCTAAATATCTCCCTCAGTGTGAGCTTTAGTGGAAGACTTCAATGTTTGAACAGTAAAGACATTTATCTTTTTTTTTTTTTCCAGAACTAAATCTAGTCGGTAAATTAACTCTCATATTCTTTTACAAGAAGGCTTTTAAAACCTTCGATCGGTGAATAACAGAAAATCCATCTGCCACAGAGCTACAGTGAAGTATGAATAGATATAATAGGATGGAACACAGATTACAGTGTGACACAAAATGTTTCCTCATGATTGGAAACATCACTGTGACATGATGCGCGCATGATGCCTCTGCGGTTACTGCTCACATAATCAATCCGATGCAGCGTGTCAATGAATAGCTTCACTCCTCTTTCATCCTTCACATCTTTGCACTTTGTACGTTGCATAAAAAAAAAAGGGCCCTCTTTGTTAGGCCAGAAGGCCATTCATGACAGAGCAATGCTGGGATTGAATGGAGGGCGGTGCTGACAGGGGCGACATTCTTCACAGCATCATAGGGCTGGCTGACTGGTTGGTGGTTTGGTTGAATGTGTGAATATGTTTGTGTGTGTGTGTGTGTGTGTAAGGAGGTGGAGGACAGCAGTGTGCTTTGTAATCCTGTACCAGCCTCCCGGCTGACTCTGCCACTCATCCTCAGACGGCGGCCCAAATTACCCGCCGCCATTGGTGCATAATGTCATCAGGATTGAGTCCTGGATGGGGCATCAATCACAAGAATGTGGCTTTGCTGACCATGAGGCTTCCACAAGAGGGGGGTGAGAAAAGAGGGAAGACAAAAGGGGTGAGAGAGCGGGGAATGAATCGGCTAGAGATGGAAAGATACTGTGAGCAGACAGTATGTCGAAAAAAGTCATAAAAAAGTCATAGTTTAGTATGTCGAAAAAAAGTCATACCTCATTGTGCTATAATATAGTCTACTGTAAGATTCTTCTTCTTCAACCCGGTGTCCCAGGTTTGACCCCCGTTACAGCAAGTTGATTACATGCATTTTTACAAAGATGACAAAGTCAACACGCTGTTATTCTTTGTATTCTTTTGTGTAAAGTACGCTGAAAACAGTCATACAAAGTCATAGTATAGTATGTCATAATAATATCATTATACAGGGATGCGCTGCAGGTCAGAGTTTGACCTGCTAGATGTTTCTAGTGGACAAAAAGAATAGAACATTTTAATATATATTATTTATATGTTTGCAGATTGTTTTTTCTTTGTTCTCGAGTATCTTTGCCTGGATGTGCACATTCTCGGTCTCTCTTCAAACGCTATGAGCTTGACATTATTCCTTGGATAGGAACCGAATGCTCCTCAGATCGTTACGTATCTTTGCATATCATTTGTTGGAGACAGAGCTCGTGTGTTTTGCACATACAGGAACATGTGGGACCCAAGTTTCCATTTCAACTGGTTACATGACATTCTGCCTCTACTGAGTTGAAGTTACACGGGGATGTTTTGGTGAACCCTTAACATCTGTTTTACTGTCATGAATTTGACAAGGCGCCCTCCTCTTCCTTCCCTCTTTGTGTAATTGCAAGTGTTTTGTGTGTTCAGGTATTGAGCTTCTTATATTGACTTTACTCTAAAAACATAACCGCCCCTTTCATCCGCAGAACTGGTTTAAAACATCTTGGATCAGGATAAAAGGGAAAGTGCACCACTTCCTGCTGCCTCTGATGTGCAGGTATTGAGCTGAGCGGAGATGCCAGCAGCCCACTTAATGCTAAATACTGCAGTCTTTTATCTTGAGAAAAAATACAGTGAGCTCAGAGTGTAGAAGGGCGCACTTGTCTCCTCCTGGTCACTAATGGTGGTGACTGTAGCAGCATTGGCATCACTTAATGGTCTGAAAGGCCTTTCAAGTTCCAAATTAGACTTCAAAGAAATGAGTCAAAGGCAAAAGTCAGATAAACAGGGTGTGGAAACAGCCTTCAGTGGTATTCACGCCTTTGTTGACACAGATTGTGAAGATTAAAGTTGATTAGGGACATAGTGAATGTCAAACACAACTCAATTAAAGGTAATGGGCTGTATTTTAACACGTTCGGTTTATTTTAAATAATTTCCATACTGAATGAAAAAAAAAAGAAGAAAATCAGCTGAGTGAGCAGTGTGATACTAACCTTGGTTTCAAGAGTATTCTAAAGTAAAATAAGCCATGTGCAAGTGATTAGTGACATGGAAGCATTATATCCAGCTGTTATTTACCACGACATCGCCGATTGTGAACGATTTTGAAATGCAGCTCGACAGTAGAGCACGACAGCCACTAGATCCTCTGCTGCTGTTCCTTGGAAACAATGTATGTCGGTGTTTTCTTTTTGCGATTGTTGTCTAATTCTTGGAAGATGTTGAGATCACCTCTGGAATATATCCCCCACTGCTTCATGACTAAGGATACAGCTGCTTTGTGCTTTAAAACGGACCAAAGCTTCTCAGGTAAGCAATACAGACATGCAACGAATGGATTATTCTATATGTATATCTATAAGCTGTGTCCTTATGTGGCAACACAATTTTGACAAACCAGTTTTGCCATTCTTAGGTTCACTAAGACGTTGGCACGGATGTAATTCTGTACCATACATCACATGTTGACGGTATCAATTAGTCGTGACAGAACTGTGACCACTGAGATGCTGCGTAATAATGTAAAATGTAAATGACGTCATTCTGGCTCAGTACTGTTTCATTCTGTTTGCCCATTGACATTGCTGAGCCAGGATCTATGTAACTCCATCAGCAGTGTTGGATGGCAGAGTCTATAGTGTTGGCTGAGCTTGTTATTTGACCCTATTGACATCCCGAGAACACCGATCAATACAACACCAGAGGTAAGAACACACAGAGTATATCGGATCAAATTACCATCCAAAAAGGCATCAAAATGTTTTAATTGTAAATGTACAGGTTTATGCTCATATGGATACAAACGGTGTGGTGAGCTGCCCTTTGTCTCGACAACAAACTGGTGCAAAAAGTACATGAAAACAAAATGCCTGAATGAACACAATCAGCCTCAATATATAGACAGGACATGTGCGTGAAGACATCCACTACTGTTCAAAAGTTTGGAATCAGCTGTTATATTGAGTTTTCCTTCTTTAAATCAATGATGGCACTAAATGTCGTGTGTACATTTGAAATAGTTTTATTTCGTCCCAGTGTTTTCAATCCAAAGAGCGTGACTCTCGGCCACTATTGAACCACAACGGTACAATTGGCCTCTCAGTATTTTTGGAAAGCTGTTTTTCTTTTGGCCCACTGCAGGCTAGTCAGTGATTAGATTGAATCGGTTTTAATTTTGTCAGTCCATCGTATGTTCATCTGATATTCTGTGATCCAGTTCCAATAATGCTAATCCTAGACTAACCTTCTATTTCTTGTCAAGTTTCAGTTTAATGAATAGCTTTGACAAAGCAACCCAAGTGTTAATACCAGCTTGTTATAGGCTGCATTATTGTGCACTTGACACTGAAACACACACTTTGATGCTACGCTTCCAATTTATTTGACCAGTGACTGGTGATTTCATCTGTTCTTATTCAGATATTGCTCAGAGGGATCTTTGTCTCTTTGTCTGGTTGAACCATTGTACAGCATTGTGTTGTACAAAACAAAGCCTTCATACAAAGTAACATCTAGTTGTAAAGAAGACTTTCTCAATGAATGAAAGACCATTGAGAACTACAGTGAGGTCCTCTCAGGCATCTGATTGTACCCAATCAGACTGTAGTGGCAGGCGATTCCAAACTTTTCAATGTGTGTATGTGCAGTTGATAAAAAGCGACTTTACAATATTTAATGAAGGTATTAACACAACTGGTGAAGGGAAAGAAAAAAACATTTGACATCACACAAAATTGCTATGATATACATAATATATATATATATATCTATAATATTTGGAAATGAAAAGACACTGAGGGTACAAGCAAAAAAGTAAATACTGCACAGACGTTCTTTGTAATATCTATTGTTTAATCTTCCTGTTTAAAAAAACAAAAAACCTTAGTGCATTTGTTAAATTATCGTTTAACTGTAATTTGCATAATCTATAAATATTACATAAGGAGATATGTTACAGAAAAGTTTGTATCACAAGTAAACGGGCATGAAATGCAGGTCATGAGAACAGAAGTATAGTGTATCTTCACAGTAATATCTGAATACCATCAGTAGTATGTGTTTGATGATACCGACCTTGAGGTTACATTGCAGCCCAGAATAAACATTTGGATGATTACTTGCATAATATTATCCCACAGAGGGTCCTAATGTACTGGTGAAGCATTTCACTTATAGTGCATATACAGACATGTGTAAGGCCCACAGCTACAGATAATGGACCATTTCCCATTACAGAGGACCTGAGCAGATATCAAAACTTCAAATGTTGGTGCAGGGAAAAACAAAATTGACATATATTTCATAAAGGACAAATGTCAATAGTTACATCCAATGATCTTCGTTCTTTAACATCTCAACAGTAGTCGTCTTTAAAGTTCCCAGAGGATACTTTCTCCTCAAGCAAATCCTTGTCGCAGAACACCACCCACTACAGTGTTTGATCAAGTTAGGTCCATGTTGTTCTTTCCAGCATTGCTCATGAGTCTGAGTGGGTTTGTAAGTCAGGAGGACTTCATTTCAACTCAGTTCATTTCAGCTCAATATCTTTCACAGGAGCTCGAAGCCATTTCATTTGTTTTAATGGTGTAAAACAAAGTGTTTTCCTCTCTCAGTATGGCAGATTGCATGACAGACAAGTAGAGCCCTGGAGATAAAGAGCCACATATGGCATGGAACTGGAAAAGCCCGCCAGCAGTCATATTAAATGTCTGACCAAAGCTGTGGTGGAAAAACGCATTTTCGCTGTCAATCTGCAGCTGTCCAGTTCTTGGTTTCCTGGCTCATCATGACCAACATATACACACAAGAGACTAGAAGAGCATGTTGAGGGACGAGTGCCGCTTTTCCCTGTGTTGATGCCTGCTGACCAGCCACTATCAAATACCATCCAAACCCAATTTTTGCCGGCTTTGCCTTTGTTTACAATGTGTCCCTTAGTCTAACGTCCATGAGAATATCCCCTGGGGTCCCGATGGTACCTAGTTGATGGAATACAGTTCATACACAGGTCCCTTGGTGGTGCACAGTGTGTTTGCGGTGCTTCAGACCCAGGCCTCTTTCTTTGAAGTCCATTACTCGCTGTTGTGATGTGTCTACCAGAGCGCTGGCTATAGCAATACCTAGAAGCCCAATGAGAAAAGAGAGTTAATAGAGAATTATATAACATGTTGCTTACATTTTATATCATTGTATTATATATGTGGCTTGATGATGGCTGATGATAATCCATGTTATTTGGTCAATAAATGTCCTATCCCTAGGTTTTCTGAAGTTCCACTCTCCACTCTAGAGGTAAATGTGGAGTTCCACAAGGTTCTATTGTGGGTCTCCTCTTGTTTTTCTATGTTTCCTCATTACAGTATTAAATGAGGGATCTGCTTTAACGGGAAAAACTTCCCACCCCGCATAAATGTAAAATATTTAATAGATATATGAATACTTTAAGATTTGGAAATATAAATGACAATGGAACCTTAAAGCTAAATACAGCTTACCACATCTGGTAAAATGGGCCCCATTCTGTTTTGTTTAAAATTGTAACATTATTTGTAGACATGTCAAAGAAATGTGTATGTGTATGTATATATATATATATGCATACAATGAGAATAGAGCAGAAAAAAGCAAAGATAGCTTCTGCTGATGTGACGGGTGGAGACACATGTCATCCTACCAGTAGGCATCTCATAACATCCAGAAAACATTTTATCTACATCTCTCCAGCTCGTGTTGTCGGGCTTCAGCAGAGAGCTTTACACTGAGTTCACTGAAGTGTAACTCCCACTATCCTGCCTCTTTCGCTTTCTTACCCTTTCTCCCCCTCACCATCCAGCAGGATGCCTTACCTCTCAAAACAACTTCTGCATCTGATTCTTGACTCTCGCTCTCCACAGCAGGGCTTACAGAGAGCAGGCCAGCTGCACCAAGGCATCAGATACCTCGCAGCATTGTGCTACCTTGGCAGTAGCTGCTGTTGTTAATGGCTGTTGTTAATGTGGATTTAGAGTCATGGCAGCTCTTGTGAGTGCAGCTAGTCCTGTCTTCCCCTCCTGACAACCGTGGGCTTGACAATACATGGTCATTATGACAAGAGCTCAATCTGCCAGGATGCAGGAGCCAAATGAACAAAACAGGCAAACAGAGGAGGGAATCTGTTGTGCTCTTGATATGATTTGGATGCAGGATGTTTTCAGCATTTCACACTCAAGTGATTCTTGGGATTTTTTTAGTGGACGAAAGTGAAAAGCCGATTATCCAGTTGCTCAGTGTGTGCCTTGTGTGTAAACTTGACTCTGCAGGTTTATGTATGTGTGCACGCACATGTGCACTTACAGTACATATTTTGCAGTTCTGATACAGCAAGCAATACAGAGCAATATGGCAGACAACAGTTATGTACTCTCTCATCGACTAGCAACAGCTGGGCTTTTGAAATTTGGCTCATCATGGTTGTTGTTTCACTTTGGCACTTTGGTTTGTTTTGTCTACCACAGACAATGCTTACATTTAGTTTTTGTTGCTATGGGAAGTTGTGGTTTGGTCCCATGTCTGTATATTTCAGGAGTAAACACACCTCCATAAGAGTTTGTGAGGTTGCCACTTTACTTTCAGGCCACTTCAATACAGTGCCATTAGGGTGTTTGGTTTTTAATTGTGTTATGACTATTTATAAAGCTGATAATTGAAGTACTTGATGAAGATTGGCTAAGAGATGAACAGGATAGTGGAAGAAGATAAATAAGAAAGGAGACTAGCTGAAATTACAACTATTAAAAAGCTGTTAAGACAGACAAACATACTTTGTCGTCCATTTGCTGTTTTCAAGCTACGTAGCCTACGTTGACATTCAACGAATGCACAAAGAAATACAAAGATGCTTGCGACCTTATTGAAATTATTATTAAGTTGAGACTGTTTCATAAGGCGAAACTTTCTCACACCAACTATAAATAAACATAAGATACGATGCTTATTGTTTTACAGTATTTTGTTATTGTTCTTTTAAATACTTTTTTCAAGTATGTTATGTATGCAGCGTTTTAAAAGAATATAAAAAGCCCAAAAAGAAAAAAAAAAACATGCCACTGATTAAACCTCAAATTATGTTCTTAGTGGTCGGTGGAAAAAAGCACTGCTGTTTCAGTTGTATAATTAAACAACTTTAAACTTCCATTATATAATCCAAACTGTTCAATAGTTAGAAGGAAAGGCAGGGGGACTTATGATGAGAAGAAAAGACAAACGAGAAGAGGAAAGGTTTAGTAAATGATTCACCTTCATGTAAAAGGAGAGGAAGTGGAATAAGACAAGGGACAGGTGAGGGACGGAAACAACATTTCAGACATTATCTAACTTAAGCTGCTCCGATCAGACAGACAGCTGTCTGTGAACTTGAGGCCAAGACAAATGCAACAGGAATGCCACCAGCTATTTCACATCAAAAAATCACCTCCACAAGACATCAAATGAATGGCCCATCTGCCTGAGCGTGGTGTGCAGGCAGCATGATTTTCAGTCGTACACACCTCTCTACCGCGTCTACGATAACGATGTACAAGCTGCGGCTCGTAGCTGTCACGAATTTCGTTACATTTTTTCTCTTAATTTGATGCTATTTGGTGTTTATTACTGGAGCACCTGTGGCATGTGACATTCAACATGGGAGAAGGTGCAGCAGGCCTCGAGACGATCACCGTCCGCGGCCAACCGCCTGGCTAGATCCTTGAACCCTGAAGGTATAAAACACCAGTACTCATATCATGACCAGTTCCAATGAAAGACTGACCGGGAAAGTTAAAGTAGACACTTATTAATTTGGGACCTGACATCTGAATATTCGTCCATCAAAATAGCTTTTACCTTTGACAAATTGCCATCGTAATTGTGTTGATGTTTCCGGGTGAACACGCACATCTCCATTTGCAAAATGAAATTGGTCAAAAGTAATCAAATTATACTGCAGGTGAGTGCAAGTGCTCATTTGCTGCCGTGGCGACCGGCCGCGTTGATGTGATTGTTTTGTGAGGCGACGCATCATTAACACCCCCTCACACAACGATCCTCCCCTCCTCCTGATAGACTAACGGGGTCATTAGCAAGGGACAGCATTCCTCAGAAAACACATATTGGCACATGTCTGATGTCCAAAACTGGGACTGCAGCTGGAAAACATCTGTGTCGGGAGGAGCCCTCTTGCTAACCCGGTGACAAACCTCACAGCCAGGCACTCCTCTCCTTCTAAACATCAAAGCCTGGCTTCTGAGTTCGTGCTCGCCCTCAATCAAGGCACCAGGGACGGCCGCCTGCTTAGGATCCAGTATAATAGTAAACAGCATCGTCTGTTTCTCGAAGCGAAAGAAAATCAAATTCAGTCAAACAGTAACACATTGCTGTATTCAAATATTTATGCATCTGTGAGGCACTGATTTCAGGTTTTAAAAGACCAGCAAACATGACGCACAACTACGACTGCTTTGATGTACGCATGTGAGATTGAGGTTTGATCCCGAGTAACTAGGATGCCTTTCATTAATAGTACATGCCAGTGCTTGGCAGAGCCTTTCCTTTCTTGTTTGAATAATGCAAGATGAAAAATATCTCCAAATTACCTGAAATTCATATTTCAATGTCTCTATAAAGATATGTAGGGCAACACAATGGTGGAAGGATATACCCAAAAAGTTGAGGCAGATGCTTTGTAGTCCTAAAAAGAGGTTCAAAAGTTGGGATTTATTTGGCAACATCATTTAAATAAAACAGGACGCATCTGCGATACAACAGTCCTCATTAGGGTTCTGACCATGCCTTTACTTCTCTTTCCTGAATATTTGTATGCATCTGATCCAATTTGTCAGTCAGAACATGTGTTGTTTTACTTATCCTTAGAATATTTAAAACTGTTCATTCAATCATTTTAACAGCAGCTTTTGCTTTGTTGAATGGCAGCTCTAATATGGGAACAAAACAGGCGAAACAACAGGTAAGGTGAGGACAGTGACTTGATATGACCAGACCTTCATGTCCATAAAAATGAATAAATGAGCTGTCAGAGTAAATACCACCGAGTATTGGACTAAAAGTCAACAAGCAGACGGATGAAGGAGTGGGGGTCGACAGGGAGAGCGCATCCCAGTGGGGCGGATGGTTCCAAAGACAGAGAGGATCAAAGTATCGGAGATCCATTCCGGGTCAATGGAGCTCGGTTTCCGAGCGATGCCCTCCGATTCCTGTCAAGCAGCTATCCAGTCAGACACCCAGTGGGAGACAGTGGGACACAGGGGGGGAGGGTGTGAGGAGGGCCATGCAGAGAGAAGAAAAGCCACTGGTGCTCCAGCAACGCTCACGGGCCAGTAGTCACCGAGTGTTGAGAGAAATACCTAACACTTCCAACAACTCCAAAGCTATCTTAATAACATGCAGCTGGTTAATAACCAGTAATGCCCAAATAAGGAGAGGGAACTTTTGGGGTTTTGTTTATCATAACAGTAGCAACAGTAAACCTGGGAACCACAAAGGACAGTGATCAATGCCTACTGCTTAAAGGGTTCTCTCTTTTCTTTCTATTTCTACTCGTAAAACTAGAAACAGTGTTGATCAAGCTATAACATCTGAGATAAATATGACGGATTTCTGACCTTCTTCACTTAGCTTTTTTTTTAAGCAGAAGATAAGTATGCTGTCTTTGTTTGCCAAGCAATTACAGAGCAAAATAAAGCCAGCAGGTAACTTCATTAATCCAAGTGTTGTCTCAGACTGGTTTTCATAGCGGTGTCCTTTATGTTTTTAATGCGAATGACCAAAATCTATTTTCTGTTCAGGGATAATAAATTAGACTTTTTCTCCATTTAGAAAGAGGGCCAAAGTGAGAGTGATACAGCACAAAGGCTGAAGATGCTTTGTCAGCACTGAGAGAGAGAAGAGAGAAGTGTAGAGAGAATAGAAGGCAACAAAGACTAAAAGAAACAAAGCTGAACCAGAAGAACTACACACAGACGCCCTGTCAACATATGCCTGTAACATGCATAGTGTCTTTTCAAAATAAGCTTCCTTCTTCACAGGAAGTTAAGGTTACAACACCACCAAGTTAGTTTTAGGAAAAGAGCGTGGTTTAGGTTGACAT